CTTGAAAGAAATTCGTGGTGTTCGTGTTGGATGTTTCCAACAGAAAGTTAAAAAAAAAAAAAAAATCAAGGTTGGAAAGTGTTTGTTCAGAGGGCTAGGAATTTCTCCAGACCTGCTTTGTTTGCTGAGAGCTCGATCCTTGGGAATGTAAGCAAGTTTTGTATATAATTCAAAGAAAACCAATTGTTTAAACAATGATAATAGCCTTTGTTTTGTTTTACTCCTAAGAAATGAGCAGCAATTTTTCTAAAAATATACTCCTAAAACCAGGGGGGGAGAAATAAATAGTACAAAACAGAACCCCTGTTTATAACTCGGGCTGGCACTGAATAGGCAAGGAGAAAATTTAACAAGCGGGAACTGTACATTATGTTTAGCAAATCTGGGTGGAGGTCAGCAGAGAGAAAGAATACGCTCTTCAGTAATGGCTGTTACTGAGCGAGCCGCAATAAATCACGCCGGCATAATCCAAGCTGATGTTTGGACGCTTGTGTATGGAGACAGTGTATCAAACCCATCAGCCTTTCAAGCCCCTTTCAATCACGCCAGCTGCTTCCCTCCATGCCTGTTTTCCTAGCCTTAAAACACGTCCTGTTCTTTATTTCACAACCGTTTGAATTTAATGCCTTTGCGGGGCAGGGGTAAATAAAAACCAAACGCAGAACAGACCGTAAGCGCTCAGGAACCAACCCCACCTCTGCTTAAAGACCTTTATTTAAGCCAAAGAGTTAATTTAACTTTCAGCCAGAGGTTAATTACCGCCGGCTGCCCGCTTTTTCTAGCTGGCCATCCACTAAATTTCAGGACATGAGGTGTTATCCCGTTACCGGGGACAAATGCAGCAGACGGGCCAGATCTGCCGCTTGTCTGAAGCGTCAGAGCTCAGCTGGCCACGGCACCCTGTTCCAACGCAGATTTCCAGTAGCTGATACCCGGCTCTGGTATTTCTGCGTTTCTTTTTTTTTTTTTTTTTTTTTTTTTTTTTTTTTTTTTTTTTGAAGGGGGGGTGGGGGTGAGGAGACTAAACCAGAGTTGAGCTGCAGCCCGGTTTCAGCCTGACACCTTAGCGAAATAACTCTGAAATAGCTCTGTGTAACAATCCCTACCGAGTACCCTGGCCATAACTATAAATCAGTCGTGACTGGGTGTTCATACAGTCAAAAATATGTAGGTGAGAAGGGAAAATGTTTTAAAAATGCTAAACATGTTTAGATTGCCCCAAAGTTTCTGATAAAATTCCTGCAGCAGAAAAGTCATTTTAGCTTCAAAATATGCCAGCCCCCCCTCACCGTTTGTTGAGATGTGGGAATGAGCAAAAGGTATTGAAATAAAATATATGAAGATTTATACCAGGCTGCATACAGAAGAAAGATGTACTGGAGTGAAATGTCTGACAGCATTTCACTTGCAAAGAAAGAAAACGAATCATATGTGTTAAGACCAGCTTTTTTTTACCCAATCGGTGTAAAACTTATATTGAATTGAGGGGCACAATTTGGATGCTGTGTGCATACGTATTTAAAAACAAGATAAAAAATTCTGCTTTCACGAGAGCTGGATTTTTAAAATTAAAAAGTATACGCATGTAATTCTGCCTATATTACACTTGGCTGTGTTCTTTTTTTCTGTGCAATTAATAATGGATTAGTGATTCAAAGTTAAAAAATTTGTATTTAATCTGGAGTTCTTTCGGAGCTGCAGTGTAAAATGACAGCCTACTCCTAAAGAAACTCAAACAGATAAAATTCAAGAAACTCAGTTATCACTCTGGAATATTCTTCATTTTCAAAACATTTTTATCGGTTTCCCAAGTGGCAGGCAGCTCTGCGGTATCAAAGGTGACCGAGTTACGTCTAACAACCCAGCAGTAAATGATTCAAGAGGAAGGGCATTGTACCCTTAAGTTAGTAATTTCGGTTATGGGTCCTTTACAGTCAGAATAAGATTAATGCAATCCTCTAAAACTGACTGCTCCATGTAAACTTGTTCAGCTGCCAGACACAGAGCTAGGCACAGATTTTTTTATATTGTTTTTGACAATGCGATACTTTGAAAAAGGCTAGATTTATGGTGTAGCTGGAATTCTTTGCTTGTGATGAACGTAAAAGAGATCACTTGTTACAGGGACTTTTATAACCCATTCACCTTCATTTCACATGTTTATGAGGACTGCCTTCACTTATGATATACAGCCTGCAGCCATAAAGCTCTGGGTTGTACGGTTATTTCTGATACAAGGTTGCTTCATCTTGGCTCCAAACTCCACGGAAGAGTGTCATAAATGGCTTGTTTGCAGTGGGGACCTTGTTGTCACCCACCAGCTTTTCTGCTGGCCGAGGGGAAGCTCTGTTCTGTAAAACACGCTCCCAAGGCGTCTTTTATTTTGCACAAGGATAAAATGGGCAAAGATAAAAAAATCTTTTTAGAAAGATGCCACTGTTGTACGAGTTGTGCGGCGCCCGGTAAAGTTTGCTTTCCCCAGCCACGGTGCTGCGGAGGGAAGGTGATTAAAGCGGCTGGTTTTTCTCATGACTCGGGAGTATCGGTGGCAGGTTCAGAGCTGCCTCTTCGCCCAGCGCATGGGGAACAGGGTGTTGGGCTGGCTGGGGAGGTGGCACAGGAGCCATATGCCTTCTACTTGGCTGGATGGAGCTGTAGTGGAGGGGTTTCCTAGCTGTCCTGCCGGAGGAAGAGCCAGTGTCTGGTGGTCTGAACAGAGGTCCCCGTGTCAGCAGCTCCCAAAATGTGAATTTTTGCCTCTGCCGCAACTGCTCGCAGTTGCGGACACGCAGTACCTCTTCACGTCAGCTTTCCAGTCCTTAAAATGAGTTTAATCTCGTTTTAATTCTGGGATGTCCCTGGTAGATTCTATTAAAAAACCTCATACAGTCCCCGCTGCATGCTGAAGTACTTTTTACAAACTGTAAAGACATAAATCACTTGCTGCTGCCCATCTGCTTACGCCCGTGTTTGCCTTTGCTTGCCTCCAGCCCTCGTCGCGGCGGCTGGGCTTGTCCTGTGCCAACTGCCACACCACGACCACCACCCTGTGGCGAAGGAACGCCGAGGGCGAGCCTGTCTGCAACGCCTGCGGGCTCTACCTGAAGCTCCACGGGGTAAG